TTGAATCATCTCTTGTGGAACAGGCATATGATTTAATCAACACTGACTTATGAACAGTATCTAACAATTGTAAAGAACACAATTTGAAATTAAATCCTGATAAAACGAAACTTGTGCTTTTCTGTTCTGATCACAAGCGAGAACACTTGAGCAGTGGTCTGAACCTCTTCTTGAATGAACAACTTTATTTTTCAACTAGCTGTAAGATACTTGGCTGGATCATAGATGACAAGTTACGTTACCACCAATACATCAAAACAATATCTCAGAGGTGTTATTTGAAACTGCGAGTACTGTATGCCAATAAGTACATTATTAACTTCAAGACGAGGAGAAAGCTGGCTGAAAGTCAGTGCTATCCATCATCAGTTATGGTTTGATAATTTTTTATCCATGCCTGGACTATTCGACTCAAATGCGCCTGCAGAGATTGCAAAATAACTGTTGCCGCTTTGTCTATAACTTAAGTAAATTTGATCACATATCTAATAGTTTCAGGCTTTTACAATGGCTTAATATCAGTTATCTGTTCAAATATTTTTACCCTACAACAATGAATCGTGTATTATATTCTAAGAATCCTCTATATTTAGTAGAAAAGCTGGTCCCTATGTCAAGTATACATCACTCTTTTATAGATCTTTCACGTATAATGCAGTGTCTCTCTTTAACATCTAAGGCAGGAATATTGATATATCAAATACTAACATCCGTTTCAAACTGCATCTTAGACAACATCTTCTAGGAATTCAGCATAGGATCAATGAGTAAACGCCCTGTGATCAATTACCATTATGTTTTTTTAGTTAGATTCATAGACAGACAAACGTCTACTGTACATGTAAAATACCATATTTGTATGTCAAATTAGCATTAAGCTTTAGTCTTTAGAAATTGTTGAGTGTAAGAATAGCTGTGTTAAACTCCGCCAATAAAGCCGTTTATTATTATTATTATCATCATTATTATTATTATTATTATTATTATTACCTCAGAATTCACACTATAAATATTTCCCTAAAATTACGAGGTGTGGTCGCGAATTTTCCTATAAGGAACACATGTATTTCCTTCTTCTCAATTGCGCCGTCAATTGAGCGACTTCTGTAGTTTGCAGAAAAAAGTCTTAAAAAATCACATGCATATTTTAGACATTAGCAATAGTTTATAAAAACCTAAGACTATATTCTTGTCTGCAGATTTGACACTTCTAAAAGCGTCTATCGGAAGTTCTCACCATATCAGCTTATCAATGTTTTGAGAAAATTATTTGAAAATCTACCATTTCTTCATCTAATAAGCTCTGACGAAAATTTCTAACGGACCCAAAGCTCTAAACGCCTTCCATAATTATTACTGCAGTGTACCTGTCAAAAAAAAGGTCTGAACGGGGAACCCTTGTACGCTCATGGTGAAACGTGTCGTTACGATGGGCAATCGTGTTGGCATGTTTTTGAAGATCCAGCCCCATTGTGAAAGGTGCGCAGTGAATCACAAGGTATTCTTTTGTACTCGCCGCGTTCGGAATAGTTTTTATTGTAGTGTTGATTTTGTTTGGGCATGCTCTTGATTCACCGGATATAGACAAATTTCGAGAAAATGGTCTCAGATTATTGTACTTGTCACGTCGGCACGTCTCATATCTTTAAAGGTTGGTGTAGCTACAAACTTGTGGAATTCGGAGTGAAACCTTCATTCAGAAATGACACCTACATTTTTTATGTTTGTTCGTTTTAACCAGTTAGGTACAAATGTTGTTACCCTCGTGCCAGGGGGGTGGTTGTAGATGCACTTCCCTGTTACTTCTTGGGTTCGAAGTGGTTGTTGATTTGGAGGATTAGGGCGCTGGGGGAAATGAAAAGATTGCCCATTTCCAGAGCTTGCCCAAAATCTATTTAACAATTTTTTTTAATAAATCACCTGAAGGGTGCTATGACAGGATTTTCAAGTATTCAAAATGATCACAGTAAGCTCAAAATTTCACTTTGCAATGGTTAATCGATCACCTAACAACAAATGAAAACGAACATTAGTGACTTACCAAGTTTCCGGGGGTATGCATACCTCAGGATCACGTCAGCTGTGAAGTTAGGATAAATAATTCATATTAAGTGAAATTAGCTGCTTAAGTATATAGATACAGTTCGACGGGGTTTCAGCACATGGCGTCTGTGGACATTGGCAATAGCTGAATCAGCTCCCTTCCTCAGGGGCTGCTTGGAACTCTCATTAAAGGGCAGGGCGTGGAAAAGTCGTCAGAGCTTCATCTGAAGGTATCAGCAGTAGTTTAGTGGAGAAAACGTAAGGTGAAGAAGACGAAAAGTTGGAAGAAGATGAAAAAGGCCTGAAACAAAAATCCAATATGGCACCGGGTTCCATTTGAACGCAAGCCGAATTTCTTACCTCTGTTGGTGTGTGGCCTAAAAGTATCGGCTAGAACGCCGTAAAAGCGTCGAAGACTCCCGTCTCCCACATCCCCGTAGGATTATATGAGATATAAAAAGGAAGAACGCTTAGACTTTATTTGGCGTAAAGATCCGCAAAATGCGTGCTTCTCAACAAAGCTACGGCCAAAAAGTGAAGTTTCTTCAACTTGGACACGGAACACAAAGTTCGAGAGGAGCAATGGAGCAATGGAACAACAGCGGACTGTTCGCGGACTGAAAGGACCGAACACTTGTCAAAATGTAACATTGAGGTTAGGAAAGAAACGAAGACGTAAACAATTCTCAGACGAAGGGGCCTCAACTACAAAATGAGATAATAGGTGGAGAGTTACGTACAAACCATAGAGAAAATCTTCAGGTAGTTAAACCAGAAATTAAAGCCGTAACAATGTGTACATTGGTACGTTAAAGCAAATTAAATAGGAATAAATGCTGAATATAAGTGTAGTATAAAATATAAATAACAATTAATTATACACAAGTATAAATTTCAAGAACTACTTTGAACGTCCTACAATATGAATACACAAATTACTCTGGAAAAATTTACGGAAGAAAAAAGGAAAGATTAGTTAAGAGTGAAGAGTGTCATCCAAAATCTCTTGCAGCTATAATATGCTTTACACAGAAGCAGTTCAGTAATTTTTTCTTGTATAAACTATTCGCATGATCTGATTTTATGATAATAGGCAATCTGTTGTAAAACGAAATACAGTTGAGGATGGGTTAAATTTTGTAGTAAATTGCAATGCCTCGTGTTGACATGGCGCGTGGTATAGGCCTCAAATTCATTCCAGTGCAACCTAACGACAGTGTAATATGTAAATACATATAGATTCTATACACTCTCTCTGTTAAATGTCCGTTTACAGGACTCCCTAGGGGTAAAAGTAAACAGTAGTCGGACAATTCGCTTCTGGGAGTTGAACACGCGGATACATGCACTGCTTTTGTCCCAGAATATTGAGCGACTTATGTGAATAGGTCAGGGCATAATACACAGTATTGAGATTGTCTGTACCAAGGGAGCTCTTTAGCTGACTTAGGGCATAAAAGATGCTGCTTAACTTTTTACGGACATTATCGACCTTCACAATAGACTCCATTTAACTCTACATAACGCGTCCATCGCTGCTCCCACGTTTCAAAACAACCTTGGTAATCCTCTGAAATTAGCCCATTCAGCACCTTCGTTAAAGCTGCTTTCACCTCCTCTATGCCACCATGATGAGTTCCTTTGAGGTGTGTCTTTATCTTAGGGAATAAGAATAAGTCGCAGGGGGTAATGTCGGGGCTATAAAGTGGGTTGTTTTTGTTCATGGGTGAGAACCTTTGGAACCATCTTTGCGCAAACCTTTTGCATATTCAAATTCTCATGTAACATTGACCCATATTCATAAAAGAGAAGCATATCCTAGGAAGCATAAGGTAAAAGTATAAAGTCTTGCTTCGAAGAAAAAGGTAGAAGTATAAGCATATCCTTGTTTTCATCTTCATAATGATTACCTTATACTCGCAAGGATATCCTCCAAGAAGAAGTAAAAGGTTGACTGGTATTTGTACCTTGAACGACATGACTTGACTTGTTCCAGCTTGTAGTTGACGTGGGAGTTCGTTCACTAAGTCTCACTGACAGTTGTACTCCAGAGTTTACACAGACCGTTCCGTATTTGTACTGGATACATTTTTTTTATCAAATTGTCATCCTCAAGTGATGAGGAAACTATAGAAAATAATGGCAACGACCTGCAGTTCATCGCAGATGAAATTGCCATTGCTCCCATTATTTTGCAAAAGTCACAAGTTCCAAAAATAAAAATGAGAAAGGACGATGAATTGAAGAAGATGTTGAAAAAATACGAATCAACATTCGGTAAGCTATTAGATACTAAAGGCAACGACATGAAATCAAGATTGAAGAAAAAAACAGATCAAAAAAAAAACTGATAATAAAGCAATTAAATCGTTAGATTGGGAAAGAAAGTTGCTGAAAGCTATGGAAGGTGACTGTAATCCTACAATTGGGAAAATTAGAGGTGCCATTTAGGTTGGTAGTGTTCAAGAAGAAGTAAGTGAATTATATACCGAGCGCAGTGAGCAAACAGTTAGTATTACAGTGCCAGCGATTCAGAAGACATTGCCACCAAAAAGAAAACTAGCAACAGAGAAATACGAAACTGAGGCAACCAAATGGTTAACTACAAAAGAACTGCAACGTCTAGTGCTACTACAACAGTACCAAACAAGTATTTTACAACAAGGGTATTATAAAACGAAATTAGAAATGATGTTCACGAAAATAAAACTTACTATAGCTTATAAATACACTTTAATCAGTGAAACTATTTATTATAATACCCAAGTTTCTTCTTATTTGTTGACCTAGTTGGCGGAGAGGAAGTTCGTCATTCTCACGATTTCCTTTATCTTCATCTGGGTCTTGTTTAACTAACTCAAAGTCAGGATCGCCCAAGCTCTTGGTAACATTATGGAGTACAATACAAGCAATAATTGTTTTCGGCACATTTTCCAACTTCACGCGGTAAACATACTGTAGTACAATATTTGCTTTATTTATTAATTGTGAACTAGTCTGTGAATTTCTCCATATTCTGGAATCATGCACTGATAAAGGCCAACTGACATCAACACTTGTGAACATCTCTCTGGCATCACAAGTGGCTTGCACATTTAAAGTAGGTTTCCCTTTTCGGCTGATATACTCATCTCCATGGCGATTTGGTTTCAGGATTCCTATATATGTACAATCAATTACACCAATTGCGGTCGTAAATTTATCCGCTTGGCCTGCATCAGTTCATGGTTGGTAGTTGGAAACTTGATCCATTCGTTCGACTGTGCAACTATGCTGTTCACAACTCTATTCACAGTCCGAGATACCGTTGCTTGACTAACTCCAAGTTCCTGACCAATACCTTGTTGATATACAGAGTCACCCAGATAGCGTAGACAAATCTTTATTTTATGAATACGTGAAAGTGCTCCTCCTCGAGTTTCCTCATTCTTAACTAAAAATCTGTCCGCAAGCCATTGTGCATCTGCTTCGTCGAACCGATATAATTTTTTGAAGTCACAACCAAGTGAAGTTAAACGAGGTTTGTACGTTTTAACATCCCTAACATCTACAATTTCCGCCATCATCGTTTGACCACCTTTCGTTTCAAAGTTGAGTCTGCTACTGACCACACTCAGAATTGTTTAAGGATATGCTTCCTATGCCAAGTATAAGGTGAGGATTATGAATATTCTTTTACTTATGTCACTGCTTTGAAGGATATGCTTATACTCAAAAAACAAAAGCATTTACTTCAAATTATTATAAGTACCATCTGGAGGATTTCCTGCAAAATTTGCAAGTACAAGGATATCCTTTGTTTTATGAATACGGCTCATTTGGCGGACGATTTCTTTGTTCATATTTACCCTGTCAGACAATGAACGAAAGCTTAGGCGCCGGTCAGATGTTATCTACTGATTGACGCTCCTCTTGAACCGTTTTGCCCATTCAGACACGCGTGGTTTCGACATACGCTTGCCATCATACACCACCAGTAATTTTCAGAAAATTTTCAAGGGTTTTTCGTCTGATTTCACAAAAAATTGGATCATAACACGTTGCTTGTAATGAGAGTCACTCATTTTCACGACGCCACTCAAAAAGCTTCCTTCAAAAACACCCACAAAATTCAAACCACACGTACAATCAACTTCAGTTTTAGACTGTAACTCAAAAAGAGGGCGCATTTGCCGGGCAGAAGTTGACAGGTGACGCGGTGTTGCCAGACCTCAAGTTATTACTGCATTCCCGGAATTTAATTGGCGTACCACGTATTTTAATGGAATGTTCAATATTCTATAGCAGATTCAGGTTGATCTTTCAACAAAAATAATATAACATACTATAGCGTTTTGATGACTGGTCGTTGAATCATGAAGGGGTGGCAGATACAAAAATATAAATTAATATAATTTTCACCCCTAAGGAAATGATTGCCCAAAGTGAGTTGCAGGTCAAGGAAATACTCCATAATCAAGAGAATTTATAGGCTATGTGGCATGTTGTGAGAAAAATTCTGCAGGGGTGGTAGTTTAAAAAAATATAAATAAAAGTTAATCTGGTTTCTCAAAACGAAAACACCTCAAAAAATTACTCTATTACAGAAACAATTTATAGGCCAGGTGGCATTGTGTGAGAAAGCTTCCGATGAGGTAGCAGATTAAAAAATATAAATAAAAATGCATTTTCATTCCCAAGGAAATGATTCCCCAGAACAAGTTGTACCTACCTCAAAAAAATACCATGTGATAGAGATAATTCGTAGGTTGGATGACCTGGTGTTAAATAAATAAATATATATAAATAAATAGCGTTTATTGCCTAACAGTTAAGAAAACCATTTACAGGACAATCCTAACATAAATCAAAATAACAAGAACAGAAAACACATAAAAAGCAGGTGATTTCATCCAAAGAAAAGAACAAACGAGAAAAAGAAGCAAAAAAACATATTTCACTAAGGTGAGTAACATATCATAAATGATCTAAACAATTTCTAGCTACTCCCAGAATGCTGTTCAAACTGTCAGCATGTATATCAAATAATTTGATATTGCATTGAAAGTGTCACACATCACATATATGGGTGCCTTTAAAAACAAATTTGTTCGAGCCCTGTCACAATAAAATGTTTGAGCTGTACGAGTTTGAATAGATGGATCATTAAAGTTAATTTGAGCCACAATCTCATTAGCATCAATTTGATTGTGCAGTAGTTTATGCAAGAACATAATTGATGCACACTTCCTTCTCAGTTCTAAAGACTGCAGTTGAAACCTAGACACTAACAAACTTTCAGATATACCACGTTCAGGATATACAGGGTGTTTCAGTTTATTGTTGCATAACTTTAAGATTCGATAGAACTTTTAAAATTAATGCATAAAGTAAATAAAATACAGGGTGCTTAAATTTACTTTCTAAAATAGTTTTTTTTTAAATATTTCGAACAATATTTGATGTATAATAGTGAAAATTGGTACACAAGGGTTTTTTGGTACGACCAAACGAACCATGGGCATAGTTTTACTGTAGCCGTTAGAGGGCGCTCTCTACTGTACATGTAGTGTATTAAAATGACAGAAAAATTTTTCTTAGTGCAATTTTTTGCTTTTTGAATAAAAAAACTGATTCTTCGCACTTTTCAACATAAAAAAGCTCTATTGTGAATTTTCGTTATACTTAGCCGTTTTTGAGATATTTCAATTTTTAAGGTTCGATGCATTTTTAATTATTTATGATAAAATAACGTTAAAATGTCAGTATCTCGATAATTGTTAGAAGTAGGTTGTGCCTGCAAATATTTTTGAAATTGAAACCAGAATAAGGTTAAACGTCAATTAGTTGACAGTTAGTTTTGTTGTCTGTTGAAACCTGAAACGGTTTTTTGCAATTGTGAATGCACGAAATTTAGTTTCTTTTACCTGTTTTTTTTTGTAAGTTTATAAAAATGCCATTTTTATTCTCCCATCAAGAGTTAGCGGATATTCATTTTGTGTATGGCTTTGTCAATGGAAACGCAGCAGAAGCAGCCAGAGAATACGCACGAAGATTTCCAAACAGAAGACATCCAACTCGCTCAGTATTTGTAAGAGTGCATCGCCAAATAATTGAAAATGGTTTTGGAAATCTCCAAAGGGATCAAAACATAAATGTTCGTCAGCGCATCATACACCCGTATGATTCTGCGTGAGTTTGATAGAGATCCGATCACAAGTGTTAGAAGAGTTTCTGGTGCCTTGGGAATTCCAGCAAGCCATGATCAGCGTGTTCTTAGAAATGACCATAGACGTCCTTACCATTTGCAACCTGTGCAAGGACTACAGCCAGGGGACGGAGAACGAAAAATCACATTTTGTCAGTGGATTCTTGATAGAACTGATAATAATAGGGAGTTTTTAAGTAACGTTTTATGGACCGATGGGTCATTCTTCACTAGACGTGGAGTGGTAAATTTTCATAATCAACATATTTGGTCGCATGAAAATCCGCATACAGTTCGAGAAAGAAATTTTCAGCATGAATTTAGTGTGAACGTGTGGATTGGTATCTACCGTAATCGTCTATTTGGACCCTACCTTTTGCCTGCAAGGTTAAATGCTGCGACCTTCTTGGAATTTTTAAAGGCTGAACATGCAAATATGTGGGATGATGTTATGTTAGATTTAAGAAGATTGGCCTGATTCCAGCTTGATGGTTGTCCAGCTCATTATTCGAGAATAGTTAGAAACTGGCTGGATGAAAATTATCCAGAAAGATGGATCGGCCGTGGACGACCAGTCGCCTGGACTCCACGATCCCCTGACCTAAATCCATTAGATTTCTTTGTTTGGAGATTTCTAAAAGAAAAAGTGTACCAGACTCCCGTAACCACAAGAGATATGCTAATAGGCAGAATCAGGAATGAATGTGATGAAATAAGTCCATATTTGAATAATGCTATACCACGTTCGATCATTCGTAGATGTGAATTGTGTATTGAACAATTGGGTTTACATTTCGAGCAACTACTTTAGATTTTGTATGTTTGTCCTAACTATCCAATAGCATTTAGGTTGTAAATAATTAATTTAATATTCTGTTTTTTTTTGTGTTTATTTGGAGTTAGGAATTATTGCTGTGTTTAAAGACACAATCTAAACGATCATTTTAATTACTTGTAATGTCCAAATCGAAAATGTAAAAAAAAATATTATTTTCCCATAAATAATTAAAAATGCATCGAACCTTAAAAATCGAAATATCTCAAAAACGGCTAACTATAACGAAAACTCACAGGAGAACTTTTTTATGTAGAAAAGTGCGAAGAATCAGGAGTTTTATTCAAAAAGCAAAAAGTTGCTCTAAGAAAAATTTTTCGGTCATTTTAATACACTACAGGTACAGTAGATAGCGCCCTCTAGCGGCTACAGTAAAACTATGTCCATGGTTCATTTTGTCGTACCAAAAAAACCCTTGTACACCAATTTTCACTGTTATACATCAAATATTGTTCGAAATATTTAAAAAAAACTATTTTAGAAAGTAAATTTAAACACCCTGTATTTCGGAAGCCACGCATTTTTCGACCCATGCTTATACAGGGTTATCCAAATTAAGTGTCCACCATTAGTAACTTTGTTATTAGTGAAAATACAAAGTTGTTTGAATTAGCAAACTAGTAGCATTTTTAACGCTGGTAAAAATGAGTAATAAAAAAAAACAATTGAGAGTCGTTATTTTGATTTTTTTCAGTAAAATAACATTTTTTTAAATGGAAACCCCTGTATATTATATTTTTTTCTGTTAAAGCATCAAATTTTAAACAAAAAACTTCATAATGACTTTTCCGCTAAAGTCAAAAATAAAGTCAAAATAACGATAAATATTTTTAATTATTTGCAGTATTATAATATTAAGACGGCTATGAAAACAACATGGCGTTCGCGATTTGACAGCATTAAGACAAGCGACAAATTGTTAAACTGGACATACTCGCAACTAGAAGGCTTTGGAAAACAATGATAAAATCAAATAATGTCAAACATTAGTGTAAATACTTGTTTATAAGCTTTATTGTGTCATTAATTTAAAGAAAAATGTTCTCCCATGAAGAAAAGTGTGATATGTTAGAATGCTATTTAGTGTGCAGAAAATCCTCCTTGAGAGCAAGAGAATACTACAGTGAATTATATCCCGCCCGCATTCAACCGTATGAACGATATTTTCTGAGATTTTATCGAAAATTTAGGGGCAACGAAAATGTTTTTGCTAAAACAAGGGCAAAAAAAGAATTCATAATAAGCGAGGCCACGGAAATTGCAGTTATTGGATATTTTGAAGCTTATCGTGAGAATTCAATAGCAGATATTCTCAAGGACTCTAATTTCAGTTATGGTACTGTTCAAAGGATTTTAAAAAAATACAAATTTATTCCGTATAAGTACCGACCAGTTCAAACGCTTTTGGCAGGGGATCCAGAGAGAAGACTTGTTTTTTGCCATTGGTATCTTAGCTTCTGTCGCCAAAATGTAAATAACTTTCGTTACCTTTTATGGACAGATGAATCAAATTTTTCAAATTCTGGAATGTTTAATAGAAAAAACCACCATTATTGGTCAAGAGAAAATCTTTTGTTAGTACATCCAAGAGGCCCACAAGTCCGTTTCAGTTTCAACGTTTGGTGCGGTATAATTGGTTCAAAAATTGTTGGCCCGTTCTTTTATGAGGGAACCCTAACTGGTGAAAGATATGTGGAATTTATGTCAGAAATTCTGACTAATTTCTTAGACGAATTGGATCTTATAAGTAGACATCATCTGCATTTTCAGCAAGATGGCGCACCTGCCCACAACTCCAGAGGTACTTATCATTTTCTAAGTACTACTTTTAATGATCAGTGGATAGGAACAAATGGCCCAATACAGTGGCCTCCCAGATCACCAGATCTAAACCCACTTGATTACTTCTTGTGGGGTTACTTAAAGAACCAAATTTACAAGCGAAGGTACGATAACCTTGACGCGTTAAAGACTGCAGTTAGGGAAAAGATAACCCAGATAGATGGTAGGACCATACTTAAGACAGTTCGAGCAGTTGAAAAACGTGCCCAAAAATGTATTGAAGAACAAGGTGGTGTTTTCGAGCATCTTCTTTAAAAA